CAGGGTCCAAAGAAGGAGCCATCTGGGTTCCTTACCAATTCCCCCAAAGATGAGGCGGGAAAGGGGGGCACTGAAAGACTAGAAATTTATAATGTGGCTAATGGGACATCACATCCCATATGGGGTAGAGATCATCAGAGGCAGCTCAGAGCCTGGAGTTTCTCTAAGTTTACTCTCCTCAGTCAGACCTCCCTGGAGGACCATTAGGCAGCCCCCAAGGAGGAGCGGAGTCGAAGGAGCACTGCTGAGAGTCCCAGGGTCAGGAACCCCAGGCTCCCTTTAGTGGAGACCATGCTGGGCTGCTTGAGATCACCCAGCAGCCAGGGTGGGAGTCGCAGTTCCCACCTCCTGATGAATGCCTGGACAGTGTAAAATTAGCTTCATGTTTAAATCTCAGCAATTTGAAGCTATAGCATTCCATGTCTTTCACATTTTTCCCCAGGTGTAGGAAGTATGAAAGTTCTTTAATGTTGTTTCCAGTACAAAGAAAGCCAAGCAATTTCCTGATCAAAGTTGTCTGTAAGCGAGGGGGATGGCGGGGGGCAAATGCTTGTAAAATAGCCAGCCGCTCACCTGGAGAGTTAGACAAGGCACTTCAGTCTCAATAAAGCAGGAAAGATATAGTCAAGATTGACCTGCCGACAAAGCAGGTTGCGACAAGACCTCTCTGTGTCCATCTCCACTCCCCCACCCCATACCCTAAGGATTAAATGTCTGCGCTCTAGGGAGGCAGAATCCATTCCAGCCTCTGGCCTTGCCGTGGTCCAAAGCCCCAGGCTGATTGCAAAAGCTAAATTTAAAGCTATTTTCATCAGTGAAAAGCTGGGAAGCTTCGCTGACAGAGCTGTCAGCCAGGTTCTGTTTATGGTCTGGGGTCCTCTTAGGAGGAGGTCAGGGGACTTTTGAATGACCACAAGTGACTCTGAAGGAAAGCAGCTGCTCTAAGCTCTCTGAGATCAAGTTCCACACATATGTTTGCTCACACTGCTGAGAACTGTGTGTCGTCACTTTGTTTTCTGATTAAAAAAGAATCTACACTTATTCCAGCATTGCTTATAATAGCCAAACCCAGAAACAACTCAAATGTCCAAAAATAACAGAATGGCTAAATATACAATGGAATTATTTACACAGTGGAATACTATACCGTAGCGAAAATGAATGAATTACATGTAGGTGGATGAAGGTGGATGAATCTCACAAAAATAATGTTGAACAAAAAAACAGAAAACACAGAAGGGAACACAGAGTATGATTCCACTTACTACATAAAGCTCAATGGCAGGCAAACTACACTGTTTTGTTCAGGGACACATACATGCAAGGGTTAAAAAAAAAAAAAAGCAACAGCCTCCAGTGGTGACCCCTGCCTGTAGTCCCAGCTACTTGGGAGGCTGAGGCCAGATGATCGTTGGAGCCCAGAAGTTAAAGACCAGCCTGGGCAAAAAAAAAAAAAAAAACAGGAAAAAGAGAAGAAAGTAAAAGAAAAGCAAGGAAATGACTTAGGGGAAAGGATTTGGGGAAGCTTGTAGCATGCTGGTAATGTTATATTTCTTGCTCTGGATGGCTGTTTACTTTATACTTATTTAAGAAATAGTACAATTATATTTTAGGCACTTTTCAATATGCATATTTCATAAAACAAGTTTATTTTTAATTTTTATTTATTTAATTTTTTGAGACTGAGTTTTGCTCTTGATGTGCAGGCTGGAGTGCAATGGTGTGATTTTGGCTCACTGTAACCTCTGCCTCCCGAGCTCAAACCATTTTCCTGCCTCAGCCTCCCAAGTAGCTGAGATTATAGGCATCCTGTCACCATGTCCAGCTAATTTTGTATTTTTAGTAGAGATGGGGTTTTAGCATGTTGGTCATTCTGGTCTTGAACTTCTGACCTCAGGTGATCCACCTGCCTCACCTTCCCAAAGTGCTGGGACTACAGGTGTGAGCCACCATGCCTAACCTTTATTTTATTTTTATATGACATGGAGTCTCACTAAGTTGTCTAGGCTGGTCTTAAACTCCTGGCCTCTCAAGTGATCCCCCCATCTTGGCCTCCCAAAAAGCTGGGATTACAGGCCACTGTGCCTGGCCAAAACAATTTTTAAAAAATTGAATATACAAAGATAATCTTTGCTTTCTATGAATCCAGTGCAAGATCAAACCTAATGTACACAAAACACTACAAAAGATCACTGAAATAAGTTACAGAAGAGCTAAATAAATGGAAAGGCATCCTTGGCCCATGGATAAGGAGATCTCATATTATTAATATAGCATTATTCTCCACTGTTGTCTAAAGAGTCAAAGCAATCTCTATCAATCTTTTCCATTCCTTTAGCAGAAAGGGAAAAACTGATCCTCAAATTGATAGGGAATTGCAAGGGGCGTCAGATAGCCAAAACAATATAGGGGAGGAAAAAAAACAATGTTGAAGGGTTGGGGGGTGGTGGCTCACACCTGTAGGCCCAGCACTTTGGGAGGCCAAGGCAGGCAGATCACTTGAGGTCATGAGTTCGAGACCAGCCTGACCAACATAGTGAAAGCCCATCTCTACTAAAAATACAAAAATTAGCTGGGTGTGGTGGTGGGCACATGTAATCCCAGCTACTTGGGAGTCTGAGACAGGAGAATTGCTTGAACCGAGAGGCAGAGGTTGCAGTAAGCCAAGATTGAGCCACTGAACTTCAGCCTGAGTGACAGTGTGAGACTCCATCTCAAAAAAAGAAAGAAAGAAAATTGAATTGACATTTCTCCAAAGAGGATATTCAAATTTCCAATACGTAGGTGAAAAGATATTCCAGGTCATTATTCATTAGAGAAGTGAAAATCAAAACCACAATGAGGAACAACTTCACACCCACTAGGATGGCTATTATCACAGAGATAACAAAAAATGTTGGAAGACTGGGCAAGGGGGCTCACGCTCGTAGTTCCAGCACTTTGGGAGGCCAAGGCAGGAGTTTGAGACCAGCCTGGGCAATTTAGGGAGACCCCATCTCTAAATAAATAAATAAAAATAAAACATTCACTGGGGCCAGGGAAGGTGGCTCACACCTGTAATCCCAGCACTTTGGGAGGCCAAGGCAGGCAGATCACCTGAGGTCAGGAGTTCAAGACCAGCCTGGCCAAAATGATGAAACCTCGTCTCCACTAAAAATACAAAAATTAGCCAAGGCATGGTGGCACATGACTGTAATCCCAGCTACTTGGGAGACTGAGGCAGGAGAATCACTTGAACCAGGAGGCAGAGGTTGCAGTGAGACAAGATCAAGCCACTGCACTCCAACCTGGGCAACAAGAGTGAGACTCAGTCTCAAAAAAAAAAAAAAAAAAAAAAAATTAGTGGGGTATGGTGGCATGCACCTGAAGTCCTAACTACTGGGGAGGCCAAGGTGGGAGGATTGCTTGAGCCCAGGAATTTGAGGCTGCAGTGAGCCATGGTTGTGCCTGCACTCCAGCCTCCCTCCGCAACAGAGTCTCTTAAAAAAAAAAAAAAAAAAAAAAAGGTTAGAAGAATGCAGAGAAATTGCGACCCTCATACATTGCTGGTGGAAATGTGAAATGAAACGGTAGTGTCACTTTGGAAAACACCCTGGCAGTTCTTCACAAGGTGAAATATAAAGTTGGGTATGGCCCAGCAATTCCATTTCTAGGTATACGCATAGGAGAATTGAAAACATACATCCACAAAAATATTTGTATGCAAATTTTCATAGTGGCATTATTCATAATAGTTAAAAAGTGCTAACAACCCAAAGGTCCATCAGCTGGTGAATAAGGAAAATGTGGTATATTCATATGATGGAATAGTACTGGGCAGTAAACGGAATGAAGCACTGCTACATACTACGATGAGCCTTGGAAACATGCGAAATGAAAAAAACGACTACAGAGCGTGTGATTCCATTGATAGGAATAAGCAAATTAACGGTAGAAGAGTGGTTGGCAGGGCTGGAGAGAAGAACTGGGAGCTAACAGCTAAGGGATGAGGATTTCTTTTTGTGGTGAAGACATGTTGTAGAATTAGATAATAATGATGGTTGCACAAATTTGTAAACATATGACTGAATTGTTTCGTTAAAAGGGACAGTTTTATGGTATGTGAATTACATCTTAATTAAAAAGTATGAAATTCTTAAGAAAAATCCCCTGTAAATTGGGATTTAGAATTTCATTTTTTAAAAATCATACCTAGTTAGCTATGTTTTCTTAAAAATAGCATGCTCATTTTAAGACAAGTTGGAAAAACTGGCTTCCCCAGTTCACCACCACCAACTTGTGAACACGTCGGGATCACGGCTTAAGGAATGAAGATCACACCCGAGAGTTGTTTCTGTTGCTAGTGGAAAGAATGCCTCTGCCCCACTCCCTCCCACTCAGATCACACACAGAACCTGGCTGAAAAGGAGGGAAAGTAATATTAGCCCCAAAAATACCAGTCCTTCCTCTCACGGGACGGGATGTCCCAGACACCTGGCAAGAGCAGGGGTGGGCCTGGCGGAGCTTGCAGGGACAGGTGCTGGGACCTGGGGGGCCGGGGGTAGGGCTTAGGGGCTTAGGGGTGTGGCGTGAGGGCCTGGGCGGCGCCCAGGAGCTTCGGGCACAGGGGTGGGGCGTGGCGGGGGCGGGGCTCAGGGCCCGTAACAGGGGCAGGGAGGAGTGCGTGGGCGGGGCGGGGCGCGTGGGTGGGGCTCTAGGCCCAGGTCTCAGGTCCCGGTGGACGGGGCATCGGGGCGCGTGGGCGGAGCTTTAAGTCCCGGTCTCAAGGCGGGAGCACAGGGGCGAAGTGGGGCGTGTGAGTGGGGTTCAAAGGCCGGGGACACAGGGTCTGGGAGAGGCGTGTGGGCGGGGCTCAGGGCCCCTTACGGCGGGGCGTGTGGTCGGGGCTTAAATGCCACAGTCCGGGGCGTGGGCGGTGCGCGGGGCGTGGGCGGGGCTCAGGGCCAGAGACCCAGATGGGCGGGGAGCGGGGCATGCGGGCGGGGCATGCGGGCGGGGCCGGGCGGGGAGCGGGGGACGCGGGCGGGGCGAGCGCCTGGACGCGAGCCTCGGGCGCCTAGCTGCCCAGACGGCGGCGGTGGTGGCCGCACGCGCGGCCCGGCCTCTGTCCTTGCGGCGCTCCAGTCCCAACCCCTAGCACCATGCCGCCGCCTGCGCCGCCCACCGTGCTGGTGCCGTCGGAGCGCGCGGTGGTGCTGCTGTCGTGCGCGCTCTCCGCGTTCGGCTCGGGCCTGCTGGTGGCCACGCACGCCCTGTGGCCCGACCTGCGCAGCCGGGCACGGCGCCTGCTGCTCTTCCTGTCCCTGGCCGACCTGCTCTCGGCCGCCTCCTACTTCTATGGGGTGCTGCAGGACTTCGCGGGCCCGTCGTGGGACTGCGTGCTGCAGGGCGCGCTGTCCACCTTCGCCAACACCAGCTCCTTCTTCTGGACAGTGGCCGTCGCTCTCTACCTGTACCTCAGCATCGTCCGCGCCTCGCGCGGGCCCCGCACCGACCGCCTGCTCTGGATCTTCCACGTCGTCAGGTGGGTGGCGGTGGCGCTGCTTTTCCTGGAGCCCTCCGACCTAGGCCGACCCCACCCGGTCCTTTCCTCCCAGAGGCCGCGTCTAGGTTGGAACCCCTTACCCGCAGCTAGCAGTGCCTGCTGGCGCCCCCGGGGCAGCCCTGGGTCAGCAGGAGGAGACCAGACTTGCCCAAGAGGAGGCCTGGCCGGACCTTTGCTCCCGAGGGCGCCCCTCTGTGCCTGCCCCAGGGTGCAGCCCCTTGGGATAGTAGGGGCAGAGTTCATCCCCAAAGCTGGGCGCTGGTTCCTTGGACGGGGCTGGGAGGACACGCTGGGCCCCTTGTGACCTGCTTCACTGTGTCCTGGCCATCTCTGCTGCCCATGGGGAAATAGGCTGCATGACGAGTTAGGTAACTGTCCCGCACTGGAGAGGCGGCAACTCCCAGTCCCACACCACCACCCTACCCCAAGCCACAGTGGGCTTGGTGCATTCCTCCACTCCCAAGCTGCAGTGTCTCTGCTGTTCAATTTACAAAGGACTGCCCTTTTTATTCTGTCTTTGATCGTCTCTAGCCTCAGGCCCCAGCCTCTTGTATTTCTGTTATAGGTGATCTTGAGTTTCCAGAGTTCAGCTGTTCTGAGATTGAGGTCAGGGGCAGAGGGGCTGGTCTGGGAGTCTGGGAGTCTGCCTGGAGTCTCTCTGAGAGTGGGGAAAAAACCAAGATCTTACCCTGCGGGTCAAGCATTTTTCAAGTAAGCCTCGCTGAAGAGGGTGGGCCCTTCCCTGGGGAATGTCAGGTTTTGAAAATCTCATAGCGTCCTGTGCTGAACTGTGGGCAGGAATCCTAGGGTTGCTGTTTTCCTTTTCTCTCTCTCCCAGATCAGAGCATCAGATACTGCCCTAATTATAGGTCCTTTCTATTAAAAACTTAAGTGCTTTCCAAGGACTGCGAGCACATTCAGCATTTTGGCAGAGACAGGTCACCTGGGTGTCACACGGCGAGGCTCCAGGGCAGCGAGAACCATTCGACCTTCAGCTCTGCACTGAGGCCGGCTGGTCCTTGAGAAACCAAGTGACGGGCTTGGCAGCTGGGCAAGTAAAAAATCTTTGCAACACATCATCCAAACTGTGGCTCAGATCCTGCAGGGCCCCCCTGCCTTTCCTTCCCAGCAGCATCCCATCTGACCCTGTCTGGATCCCGTGATGGCTGGCTGGGTGTGGGCAGCATGTACACGGGAGATTGTGGATACTTGAAAGAACTCAAGGCTGTACCTTTCTTTGCAAGAACGTTTCTCTTTCCCTCCTTGTCTTTAAAAGTATTGAATACAGAATATTTTTAAAATGATAACAGAACCTCATCCAGTGTCTGTGGAAAACGATTGCCCAACAAACCTGATTTGGGGGTTTTTCTGGTCAGTTCTCATCAGGAACCCCCTAGGGGGTTTTCTGTGTTGTTTAGGAAGAGCTTCTTTGATTAGGAAGTAGGCCCAGTGTGGTGGCTTGCACCTGTAATCCCAACACTTTGGGAGGCCGAAGCAGGAGGATTGCTGGAGCCCAGGAGTTTGCGACCCACCTGGCCAACATAGTGAGACTTTATCTCTACTAAAAATTTAAAAATTAGCTGGGCGTGGTAGTGCATGCCTGTAGTTCCAGCTAATTGTGAGGCTGAGGTGGGAAGATTGCTTGAGCCTGGGAGGTGGAAGCTGCAGTGAGCTATGACTGCACCACTACATCCAGCCTGGGTGACAGGGTAAGACCCTGTCTCAAAAGAAAAAAGAAAAAACAAGCAACTTATTCATTATGTCTGTTGAATGTGACCTGCCTACATCTTAAAAGAAAATAAAATTATCTGTATCCAAGCTAGAGAGGGAGTCTGACAGTTTATTCTATGGCGTTCTCTGAGCACTCAGACTTCACTAGTCTAAGGGAATTGGTTAAACCTGTCTAACAGGTTCATCTGCTGACCTAGATCTTCCCAGACTGTATTGCCAATGACCTTGCTAAGGACTCTCCAATGTATTTCTTTGGAATATTAGTTTATTGTTGCAGGATCTGTTGATGTGAGGAGTATCACCTTCAGGCATAGACTACATGATTATCTACTTTTTAACCATTTCTTTCTTTCTTTCTTTCTTTTTTTTTTTTTTTTGAGATGGAGTTTTGCTCTTGTTGCCCAGGCTGGAGTGCAGTGGTGCAATCTCGGCTCATTGCAACCTCCACCTCCTGGGTTCAAGTGATTCTCCTGCCTCAACCTCCTGAATAGCTGGGATTACAGGCATGTGCTACCATGCCCAGCTAATTTTGTGTTTTTAGTAGAGACGGGGTTTCTCTATATCGGTCAGGCTGGTCTTGAACTCCCGACCTCAGGTGATCCAGCTGCTTCGGCCTCCCAAAGTTCTGGGATTACAGGTATGAGTCACTGTGCCTTGCCCTTAACCATTTCATGCTACTGGAATTCAGTCCTCTTCAAAGCTCTCAGTTTTGGAAAGTATTTAAAAATGTGACAACACAAAAGGTTGATATCCCTATTCTAAAGTGTGATTGATTTTTTTTTAACCTACAGATATTCTGAAAAATGGACAAAGGCCATACTCAAGCAAAATAGGAACAGCAATTGATAAATACATATCATATACTATTCTACTCAAAGCAATACAAGTTATAACAATAAGGTACCATTTCCTCATTTAATAAAATTTGGGAGGCCAAGGTGGGCAGATCACTTGAGGTCAGGAGTCAAGACCAGCCTGGCCAACATGGAGAAACCCAGTCTCTACTAAAAATACAAAAATTAGCTTGGCATGGTGGTGGGTGCCTATAATCCCAGCTACTCGAGAAGCTGAGGCAGGAGAGTCATTTGAAACCAGGAGGCGGAGGTTGCAGTGAGCCAAGATTGTACCACTGCACTCCAGTCTGGGTGATAGAGCGAGGCTCCATATTGAAAAAAAAAAAGAAAAGGCAGGCTACAAACATGATAAATGCCAGTTTCACTGGCATTTTTCTACAGTATTATTAATGGTGTGAATTGAAATAATCTTTGTAGAAAGTATTTGGTTCATACTCTTTGATACAGTAATCCTATTTACCAGAAACTAGTCTAAGGAGATCATCTAAAATACGTACAAAGCTGTGTGTACAAAGGTGTTTGTGAGGCACTTCTTATGGTGAGAATTTGGAAGCAACCTCAGTGTCCAACAATGGGGGAGCAGGAAGTTAAGAGACTACCCTCCCCTTCTGAAATGATCTGCAACTCTTAGACACTGGTTTTGAACTCTATAAGTAATTTTTTTAAATGATATGGTACAATGTGAAGTGACAGAAACCATCTCTGAGACTGATTACAGCCGCGTAAAGGCAGGAGGTTAGAGAGAATCCTGCACACGCACAAGTTCCCAGGAAAGTGCCTGCGTGGCTGCCTGGGACCCCATCACTGTACCTACCGTGGCCCCCTTTGCAGAGAGAGGGGAACAGTTTAGACCTCATCCTCAGGGAAATCATATTTCAGCATGAGCTGTGCCTGGCCCCGATGTTTGTAGAGTGCCCCGATGTTTGTAGAGTGCTGTTCCATTCATTAGCTCATTGATCACCAATAACTCAACAGGGCAGGGCATGGTGGCTCACACCTGTAATCCCAGGACTTTGGGAGGCTGAGGCAGGAGGATCGCTTGAGCCCAGGAGGTTTAGGCTGCAGTGAGCCAAGATCACACCACTGCACTCTAGCCAGGTGACAGAGTGAGACCCTATCTTAAAAAAAAAAAAAAGAAGAAGAAGAAAAAAAAAGTAACCCAACAAAATGGAGAGGGTAGGGTGATTACCCTCATAGCAGATGTGATGGTGCAGGGCTACATAGCTAGTAACGGAGAGGCTCAGGGTTAGAATCTACTTCTGACCCAATCCAAGGCTCCTTTTGTGAATCTATGTTGTCTTTTGGCTATGACAATTTTTAAAAACTGAGATATAATTTCAACAATATTTTTAGGCCAGGCACGGTGGCTCACACCACTAGCGCCAGCATTTTGGGAGGCCAAGGCAGGCAATTGCTAGAGCCCAGGAGTTTGAGACCAGCCTGGGCAACATGGCAAAACCCTACCTCTACAACAAATTTTAAAAATTAGCCAAGTGTGGTGGTGTGCAGCTATAGTCCCAACTAGTCAGGAGGCTGAGATGAGAGGATCGCTTGAGCCCAGGAGGTGGAGGTTGCAGTGAACCGGGATCACGCCACTGTACTCCAGCCTGGGCGACAGAACAAGAACCTGTCTCAAAAAAATAAAAAAATTATTTTTAGCTTTCCAGATTTCCTAAATGTTAACATTTTACAATATCAGTTTTATTCTCTCCAATTATTTTTTCTGGAACAATTTAAGAGTAAGTGACAGGACCTGGGAACAGTGGTTTAATCCCAGTATTTTGGGAGCCCAAGGTGGGAGGATCACTTGAGGCCAGGAGACCAGCCTGGCCAGCATACTGAGACCCTGCCTCTACTAAAAAAAAAGAGAGAGAGAGAAAAAATTTAAAGATAAAGTAAGAGTAAGTGACACAGTCAATAAATACTTCAGTTTGTATTTCCAGAAGACGGGCACAATCTCTTACCGAACTGCATATACCTACCCAAGCAGAAAATTAACATTGAACAATACTGTCCCCTGATTGGTGGACTTTATTGAGTTTTTTTTTTTTTCTTCAGATGGAGTTTCAGTCTTACACTCCCAGGCTGGAGTGCAATGGTGCGATCTTAGCTCACTGCAACCTCTACCTCCCACGTTCAAGTGATTCTCCTGCCTCAGCCTCCCAAGTCGTTGGGACTAACAGGCGTGCATCACCGTGCCTGGCTAATTTTGTGTTTTTTGTAGCGATGGGGTTTCACTGTGTTGCCTAGGCTGGTCTCAAACTCCTGACCTCAAGTGATTCACCCACCTTGGCCTCCCAAAGTGCTGGGAGTAGAAGTGTGAGCCACTGCGCTTGGCCTTTATTGAGATTTTTGTCCCTGGACTGACAGTGTCCCTGATGGTAAAGGAAAATT